ATTGTGGAGTGTGCATACGTGTGTATTGTTTTTGATCTGCCGTTAATGAGAATATAAGTTTGTTTGTTTATCAACTCTCGGCTCTGTCTTGTTCTTTGGGCCACAGCCGGCGTCCGCTGGCGCACCAATAAGGACCACTTCTAAATTGTCCACGCTTTCGTGGTGCGGTTCGGGGGGCCGATACTTCGGCTCTTGGAATTAGCCCGGCGATCGCCTCCCTAATAAACGGGACAGGTGTGACAGCAGGTTAATATTATGAATTTTATGATTAACGTTTCTCCGCATTGAAACTTGTAAGTGAAGCATAGCGATCGTATCGCTAACGAAGACCAGTGAATAAGGAATGTGTATATTTATTTTAGACACAATATCTCTGTTGCTGAGATTGTTGTTGCGATAGCTGCACCTAAGCAGGAGCAGCTGAATAAAGAGGCTGGAATTTGTACAACGTCGGTTCAACCTCATCAGATAGAGGTGCGGCACCGGCTTTGAGGGACTACGGCTTTCGTCGGCAGAGCATGAAAATACGGCAGTCGCTAGTCTGCCTCCACAGTCTTGAACGCTTTTCCACAGGGGCCATTCTGTACGTGTGGAAAGCCCATCGCTGCCTCACACTGTATCGGCGACCAGCCACGTACCCTTACTCAACTCAACACTCATAGATGCTATCGAGCATAGGTCGGCAAATATTACCGAGTTCACTGAGACTCACTCATTTTGCTCTTACGGCACACTCGGACATGGCTCACCATGGATCTCCAAAGATAGAGTGGTGGGGGGAGCAAACAGTTGATTGGCGCAAGCATGTGGCACAATACGAGAGGCGCGAGCATGCGCAGTGGGGGTGTTGACATCGCCGCCGACGCACGACGCGTGACATCGGGCGACTAAGAAATGCTCTGCACTTAAAATTTCCCTAGAATAAATAGCGGATAGCAGGATGGGGTGGTTAAGGCACCCCCCTACGTAATTAACGCATCTGATCAATAAATATTGAAATGGTGTATGAACGAAGCATATTTGGAATACGTGAGTAGACGTGAGTATAAACGTGCATCCACGTAAATATGATGGTAATGCTGAAGATGAGTAGAGAGGGAAATAGGACAGCAAAATAAAGTGGAACTTACTCAGACTTACTCAAGAATTATATCTGGCGCTTTGGAGCCACTCGAACTTAGATTCACGGAAATTTCCTTGAACCTGACTCACTCGGACTCACGCTCACGAAAAGTTGCTTCAACTGAACTCACTTGGACTTGAACTCACCAAATTATTACTCACCCAGAATCACTCACACTTGGACTCATCGCCCGATCTGAGTCTGAGCATGAGTCGATTCACGAGCGAATCAGCCGACCTATGCATCGTGATACATTCGTATCGCGATACTGTCCAGGCCTGGTGATGGAGCGTGTTGACTGTTCGCTATCACTCTCTAGCCCCGCTTCGGTGTCTAGTGGCTAAGGTACTCGGCTGCTGACCTGCAGGTCGCGGGATTGAATCCCTACTGTGGCGGCTGCATTTCCGATGGAGGCGGAAATGCTGTAGGCCCGTGTGCCCAGATTTGGGTGCACGTTAAAGAACCCCAGGTGGTCGAAATTTCCGGAGCCCTCCACTACGGCGTCTCTCATAATCATATGGTGGTTTTGGGACGTTAAAGCCCACATATCTATCAACTATCACTCTCTAGCTTCGACTGCAGCAAGGCAGAGCCAGATATTGATCTCCGACAAAGAAGATCTATCTGATCTGCAGGTGCAGCCACTCACCAGAGAAATCGGAGACTGGAAGTTGAAACACGTCGACGCGTTTCTTGTTGTAAGCAAATTAGACGCTGAGGCTTATAAGAACCGCCGTGCTTGTCGTCACGACCAAACATGAACTCGAGCAGATCTTGGTTGCGCTCCGAGGCCAGAAGTTAGAGCGACTGTACGCACTCTGAGATGGAGCGCAATGCTATAGCAGAATGAGCAGAATGTCTTCAGAGTTCTCAATCTTCTATGCTCGATTACTTCCATTCAAGAGTGGCTCGTGTAACCAGAGTTCTGTGGAGTCAGCTAAAATGACCAAGCGAATGCATGTGACTGCGATAAATGTGACACCACGCTACAAATGGTATAACCGTCAGGATCTTCCACCCATTCTAAGAACGAATGATCATTTTTTGCCACACGCGATAGTTCGGAGGCACTCGCGCTCAGGTCTAGCTGTGTGCACAAGAGCGAACTTCGACCAATTGCGTCTGGCAAAAACGTTGGTTCGTTTTTCAGAACGGGTACAAGAGGCCGAAAAAAGTCTCTTTGAGTCGCGGTATACGCCAGGTAGCCGATGTGTGTACAGTTTCTGGAGCAACAACGAAACGACACATGATGAAAGCCACCCAATTCTTGGCCAGTCCCACTGTGGGTAAGAGCCACAGTTATTAGGCAAACAAAAACAAAAATTGTTGAGTTTCACTGGGGACTTTGCGATTTAGTTAGACATCTACCGACGTGGGAGTGGCCCGCAACGTGCTAAAGCGTGTTCCGAAAGTTTTAAGAAAGTCCGTCCAACCACCTACCGCAACGCGGGCGCGCTGGTTGCACTGGTGCTGTTCCAATAACACGGCGTAGCAATTTTAATGCGTAAATAATGACGAGACAGATTTGTACCGTAACCATTTATTTCCACATTCATCAGCCAGCGAATGGTTTAGAGTGAGGCGCGCACTTCCCTCTATTTATAGAGGTGGTGCGTGGTAGTAATTAGAAGAAGAAGACGCCTAATTTCTGCAGCCTGGTAGGAAGCAGGGTGCAGTGCCTGCGGGAAGGGGGAATGGGAGAAAAGTGGATAGAAGAAAATGAGGTTAGGTATGTAGTGGCGCAGAAGTCTTCAGCACAAACAGCAGTGTGGCACAAGGATAGGGGGGGAGGGGGCAGGGGTCCTGTTTTCAGTGGTAGGCCGCGATTCCCGTCTAGTTCAGGAACTCCACCAGGCTCCGGAGCGGATGGGGACAAGACGGGAAGAGCAGGTGCTCCAGGGTGGTGGCAGGAAGGCCATGTCTCCCGTAGGCTGGAGTGACCCTCGAGCATTCCTATATGCAAGGACAGGGCAGGCACAAATGAGGTGCTCGAGGATCTCGGGATCATCGCATGTGTCTGTAGGCCGGGTAGGCGCAGCATCCCTTGAGATAGCGGCGGGCCACGGTTCACACGCATTCGATCCGCAGTCGCACCAGGCCAGCTTGTTCCCTCCTGGTGAGGCCTGCCTCTGGGAGAAGCTTGGGTTCCCGCCCATTGGCCACCCCTTTGCGCGGGTGGACCGAGGCGAGGAGCTCCTTGATGAGAGCATGCAAGATGTCCCTGGCCACCACCGCCTGGGTGACGGGGGTGCCCAGCTAGTGTGCTACCTTGGCCAGGGTGTCCGCCTTCTTGTTGACAGCTATGCCCACGTGAGATAGCAGCCAGTGTAAGGAGACGGACGTCCCGGACGCCGCAAAGGCCCGGTACTTGGATGCCAGGAGGCTTCTTGTGAGCCCGGCACGGCGATGGTTAGCTAGCTTATGTAGGGCCACCTTGCTGTCGCTCAGGACTGCAATCGACCATTTATATATGCGTATACGAGCGAGTGGACGTGAAAGGGGGGTGCAGGGAGGAGAGAGAGTGAACGCCGAGAGAAAGAGCGGTGAAGCACTGCACCTATTCCCTCCTACACTCTCTCTACACTCTCTCCGCCAAGCTCCCGCAATGCGAGCGCCCTCACACGCCAGAGCGCGCTCCTCCTCTCCGATCACTCTGCGCTAATCCGTCTGCACCACCTGCTCCGGTTGCTATACGTTTATATAATAAATAAATATTCGTTTATTATAAACTTTTTTTTCACGCAATGGCAACTTCCAGAATGTTTAAACGCAATCATCCCGTCCAGATACTCTGTGCGTTTGCTTTCGCTGGCTGTTTTCTTTGCTATGAGGACCAAATAAAAAAGTATTTGAACACACACCCGCATTTCAATCTCCTTTAAGCGAAATACTTCACTGTTATCAACTTCATTATCATTTTTTAACAAGGCACGCTACTTTATATCACACCAATTGAGCCTTCCTGTCAAAAAGAGCTGACGCTCAACGCATCATCACCTGGAGACGGTGGTGGCTAGCTCGGAATTGGAATACCAGCAAAAGCACCGAATCCGAAGGTGCTGCCTTGGGATCCACAAAGCAGGATCTCACTTCTGCCCGAAAACGATCCAATAAAGTTACACTCTCTACTTTTCCAGTCACGCTGTTCCCTTGAGACAGCTAACGTCCCTGCTTAGTGGCAGCCGTGGGGAAGGATGATGGTAGTCTCCTTCCACCCTGTGCTGCTGGGGACAGATGACGAACCACCAGCTTATATCATAAGCTGTCTACATGTACACATATGTGTTGCTTAACACAGTGTGTTGGCGGGCTAATTGGTGTGAATTCATATTGTGTTTTTCTTTTGTTTTTTACTGCAAAATGGCAGGACAAAGCGCTGTTCTCAATTGGCCTAAGCTGCGCTTCGCCTGGTCGACTGTTTTTATTTGTGCTTGGCGTTTTGCGCTACAAAAGCGCTATGGGGCTGGCTAACGCACCTGCTTTTCAGGAAATTGCATAATGAACTAAGAAATGTTGCGTAAATATTCCTAATGTAACAAACATATGCCTTAGAGCGTATAATTCATTCATTAAAGCTTAAATACATTTTTCAAAAATAGTTATTTGTTTGCTTCTTCTTGTTCTTCTTAGCGTTGCGCTGTATGCGGTATTTCAGTATGCACGAAATATCGCAGGGAAGAAAAAACTTTAATAGAAGTTCGTTCACGTTCTCTCAGCCCAATGTCTCATTTGAAATGCTCGCGGAAGCTTCACATAGACGAGCAAAATGGATAACCTCCTTTTGGGCCATGGCGTTTTTCTACGCTTTCATGTGTGCGCAATCGGCGCTATTAGGAACGTCGTCTTGAAGGTCTTACGTTTTACGCAGGTGATGGCACCTTAGGCGATGGACCTGAGGTTCCCCGTGGCGGGTGCCTCGTCCCCGCTTGGCGCACCCCCGACGCCAGCGGGCCTTCTGCGCTCACTGGAGCGGCGGCCGGGCCCCAGCGCGTTGCACGGTGGCCCCCTGCCAGGCCCAGCTGAACCGGCGGCGCCCGACGAGTCCGAGGACCGGCGCAGCTCGCCGCAAATCGCGGCCAGCGGCTTCTGTTTTCTGGCGGCGCTTTGCTGCTCGGCGGGTGGCTTCTGGGCGTCGGCGGCCGCAACGCGCCTCCTTGGCGTCGTCTTCCTGGTGGTGGGCGCAGCCTCGGTTCTCGCCGCCATCCTGTTCGTGCCGGCTGGCCGCGACGGCAAGCTGCCCGTGCATCGTCGCGCATTGCCGCTTCTGCTGGCGCTGGTGCTGTGGGCAGTCGCCGCCTGGATCATATTCCTGGTGGCACAAAGCAGCGTTCACGGCAAGGGCGTGTTAGCCGCCGTGGCCGCCTTCCTGCTCCTCTTCTCACTTGTGCTGTTGCGCGTCGTCTGCCGCCGCTGCCGGCATGGCCGGCGGCCCCTCAAGGACGCCGAGGACGCGGTGCAGCTCGAGGACTTTCATCACGTGAACACGCAGGTTCGAGACACGCTGCGATTTGGCCAGTTGCGTGCCGACCCGGCCTTTGGCCCGGTGGCCGCCGAAAGTCGACCCCCCGTGGTGCCCACGGCGCCGCCGGAGACGCCGCCGCAAGCGTCAGCCAGCTTCTCCACGTTCGTGCGCGAGCCGCCTTCGGCGCCCGCGGAGCCGCCGCCTTACGACGGCTTCCCGCCGGACGGCAGCCGCTGCCGGACCCCGCCGCCACCGTACTCAACGCTCGTCTAGGGCGCGCCCGATAAGAATGTGGCACGGACCTGCGTGCGCCCAGCGTGTGTTGTGCTTGCACTGACTGGGCCCCAGCGAAAAGGGGAGAATCGCCGCATGCTCCAGTTAGCTTGGAATGCCCGAGGCGTACCCGATCTACGCCGGCACAGCAGGCTTCGGTCGTTCCACGAATACACATGGTACGCGTGCCTTTAAACAGGCTTCGCGAACCAGTTGTATAAGAGAGAAGAAAATCTTTTTCTCTGAACACCGTCAAGGAGCTTTCCGCTGAAAGGTTTGACTCACCACAAGCGAGCAGTGTAGGAACGGGAAACTGGATGCCAATGCGCCCAGTTGTCAACATCCTAGGCATCTTTTTTTATGCCACAGGTGATATGCGTTGAAGAAAGCAGAAAGTCGGTTATACTGACATGCGACTGATTCGTAGCAGCCATAAATTAGAGTAAACGTCGACAACGCGTTCGCAAAAGGCAGACGACGACGAACCAGCCAGGATCACGTAGAGTGAAACTGCAAATAAAACGTGAACTGGCGTCGAGCACTGCCCTTAAAATCTGTAAAACTAGCTCAATACATGGTTAGTCATTGATGTCTTGAAAGTGACCTGCTCTTTTCTTTGTTTTCCTCTTTTCGTACGCAGTATTAATTGAAAACAGTAAATATTTTTGTTACTACAGTCCTTGCCACAGTGTTAGTGTTTTATAATGGTTTTGTGTATGTTCCTTACCGAGCCGATGTGATCTCATGAAAAGCGAAAAGCAGTGTTAAAATAACGAGGACCCGTGGTCGTAGGTCAGGCCTTCTAATCGCACCCAGGCCTACATTGGTCATGTCCTCCACCCCAGTCTTCCTTTATTTACTTACTTATTTATTTGTTTGTTGTTTTGTTCATTGCCCATTCCTCTCACTTTAGTTTGTCATCCTCGACATGAATGGGTGCGCCTCTTTTTTTGTAGATGTGGCTTTTTCACATGTATATAAAGAATGCAGCAAAGCCCTATTTGCAGGAGAGTGTGACAATAATTGAGTGGTAGTCGAGTAACTCTCCAGACACTGCACTCCGTCGCACACTCATGCAGCGTAGTGAAAGCTGTCAGGCGTGCTGAAGCACAGTTTGCAGCATCACTTAGTTCCGCGTATGAAAGCGCGGAGCAGCCTTCATTCTATGAACACCGGCAGCTTCTAGGCAGGAGAGAAGTGACCGCAGGCTTCCGCTAAACACGTCGCACTCGTCCTATACTCCTCGACCCTGCTTCATGTCTTAGTGCAAAAGGCCATTGGCCAAAATGGGAGCTGATTCACGCGTACACACTTGAAAATCGCGGCTCGGCCATAGTTTCGAAGCACTGCACGAGCGTAGAGAGACGGATTGCGTGTGTTCCGCCACTTAGCGCAGGAAGCGGACGCGTAGCATACGTTGATGGAAGGAAAACAGAGACCGGACGTGGTTCGAACACTTAAGTTGTCGCGTACCTGAATAAACACTTCCTAGAGTATGCAACGGAAATTTCCTAAATTAGCTCAGATCTTGGCTGGGAGCGTGTGATTGTAGGCCTCCCTTCACTATCACAACGCTTTCTGTTTTCAGTCACACCGGCTCCTCAATAGCATCACAACCATTTTGCTTTCTGACTCTGTTCTCATTACCTTCGCTTTACGTAAAGGAGGGACCTGGTCTGAGCGGGCTTACAGATTTTATGTGCATGGTCTGAAATGTTACCTCACCACCACCAACACAAACTCCGTGTCCTCTGTTCTTTTCTGCTGGCTGACGGCTGTAACTTGTAGAGTACCTTCGACCTTCCGAACATCTCAACACGTACCCCTGAAGTTTTGTACAGGCTGGGCTCTGAAAATGCAGACATTCCTCTCTACAGTGTATAAAAATGAATAATAAGAAATCATTTGTTTTTGAAGTTGTGTTGCGAAGTATTTTTGTTACCTGTTATTCGTCATCCACGTGCCAGTACAGCACGTGGACCCATCAATAAACGCCAGTATATACGGGCTTCCCCCCCCCACTTACATACATACATACATACATACATACATACATACATACATACATACATACATACATACATACATACATACATACGTACGTACGTACGTACGTACGTACGTACGTACATACATACATACATACATACATACATACATACATACATACATACATACATACATACATACATACATACATACATACATACATACATACATACATACATACATTAATAACACACAACCTATTTTTAGTTATTAACCTTAAACTGTGTTCCTATCAAGTGCAACTACACAGGGGGAGTACTCAGCAAGCAACATTGTTCCCACCGTGTGTAATGATTTGAATTATCTGTACATCAGGCAGAGGTTGTCACTTTGAACTTTCCAACACTGGTCGCATGGACATAGCAAAATAGCTAGGACAATGACGACGAAACGTCTTCAGAAAATACTTTGCAATCCTCAGCAATAAAACTAGTACAGTTCTTCATATAGTATATTTTAGGTTCTGTATTCATATGGGGACCATATGTCAGTAAACAACTCCGATGAAAAGAAAATATGCGTGCAACGTTAAGTATGGCGGTCATCGCTGGCTTCTAGGTTTATCAAGTTGACAGTCATACGTAAAACACGCCCAGAGAACACTGCGCAGTGAAATAGAGATAAATACAAGTGGCAGAAAACATACAAGTGGCAGAAAACTTTGGATGAACGGATGGACGGATGGATGGATGGATGGATGGATGGATGGATGGATGGATGGATGGATGGATGGATGGATGGATGGATGGATGGATGGATGGATGGATGGATGGACGGACGGACGGACGGACGGACGGACGGACGGACGGAGGAATGGATGGATGGATGGATGGATGGATGGATGGATGGATGGATGGATGGATGGATGGATGGATGGATGGATGGATGGATGGATGGATGGATGGATGGATGGATGGATGGATCACTTTATGGGGGTCCTGAAGGATTGCACCCCCGTTTTTGAAGGATTGCACCCCCGTTTTATAGAAGTAGGATCACGGGCCGCTGCCACGTAGGGACGGGGAGAGGCCTAGCCTCACCGCCGCATCGAGGGCCTTCTGGACAGCCTTGAGTTGTTGTATGAGAACCGGATTCATGAGCTATAAATGAAAGGAATTTTCGGAAAATTCGTCATTTTTCTCTTGTAATGAGGGGCACTTCCGAGCATGTGGTTAAAATCACTGTGATTGTGGCAGACCGCACAGAGTTCTGAAATGTCGGAGTGATGGCTATAAGTTACGAGGCTAAGGTATGTTCCCGTCTGAAGCATGCGAAAGGCGATTGCCTGTAGCCTAGAAAACTTTTCGTGTGGCAATGGAAAGAATCTACGGCCTCATTGATAGTGCTTGGTGATCTCGTTGAAGGCAGTCAAAAGAAAGCTTTTAAAAATCCACGCACCTCCAAGCAGTGAATCATGATAAGTGTGCTAAGTACTGGGGGCCGTTCGGTGTTACCGTTAATCACCCGTTACATTACCCATCCGTGCATGTAAATGATTCTCAATCTGTGGAACACTCCTGGCGTTTAGCTGCCACTTGCTGCGCCTTCAACCAAACGACCATTTGCTTCAACTTTAGAATATTAACAGCCTTTCTCGTCAATCATTTTGCTTTGTCATATGCTTTGATTGGTGGGTGGTTATATGTCCATGTTTTTATGGTGTTGTGGCCTTTTATTTTGTTTGTTCTGTTTAACAGCTTTTGTTAACCTTTTTGCTGTTCACAGATGTTTAGTTTGTTCACATGCACCTGCACTACATCTGCTGTAGGTGCCACAGAGCGGTTTAAGGACGGATAAATTATCAGGTGAGGCGGGCGTTTTCCCATGCGCCGATCGCGACTGTACGCGTATGATACAGAAACTGGCTTATGACATTCGGAAAGGATCTCTGAAATCGAGGGCTTTGGTTGAACATGCCGCTTCGAATGGAGACGAACTCAACTGAGAGAAGACATGCTGAAGGATGCAAAATGCGCACAACGAGAGGCCAACACGAACAGGCGCAACCAGGCTGCCCTTTAATCTTTCTCAAGTTGTGCACATTTTACATCATTCATTATGACAAACCAATTTGCCCAGAAAAAAGTTTTGTTGAACTACCTACACCGCGTCATTTTCAGAAAAACAATATACGGCAGACCCTACGCATCGTGGGCATTAACGTCATTCGAAGCATCCCGTGAGTACATGCTTATGCCGTATTGCTTGACTTGGAACTATAAACGTTTTGAGGCATATTGGAGTTGTATGCGCTAGAACACTGCACAGGCAATGATTCTCGGCCCGGACCCGGCTCGGAACTCGTTCAAGCTTACCCGCCCGAACCTGGCCTCGCAACTCAAAGCGAAACCCGGTCCCGGTCCGAACCCGAGAAACACTTATGCAGGGGGGTGGCTGCCCACCCCTAGTCACATAAGAGGGGGCGCAAAGCCAGCTCTATACATTAACATATAATAGAAAGGGGGGTGCTGTGACTCGGGGGGGGGGGGGGTGAAGTCAGCTCCGTACATCGTCATAAGAGAGGGGAGGTGCTGTGACGAATTTTCACCCCCCCCGCCATGAAGGGGAACCCTGAGCACCTCTATGGATGCGAGTGTTGCTCTTTACGGATTGAAATGAGTACAATATCAAAGAACGTGCACGATTGTTTCGCAGCACCCACAAAAGTAACACAGTTGGCCATCTATCATTACAATCATAAAGGGCTATGCATTCCAATAGGCTGATCTACACGAGCTAGACGACAACACTCACGTCGTGAGAGGCAGAACTAAAGACGAAGTTTCTAATTAAGGTCCAAAGTGTGGAAGCACGTGCCGTAGTAAATAAGGATGACATCCGATAAAAGGATGTCAGGTGATGCACAAGTGCGCGAAGTATTTTTGCTACGTTGTCCATCAATGGAGGCATGGACACATATTGCGGGCATGTCAGGTAGCTCTGGTTTCCAGATCGACTAGGTAGCCACCGAAATATTTGCTTGTGTCCCTTATGAGCTGCTCTATGGAGGATTCGTCTGATCTCTGCGACAAGCTACTCATGTGATCTGTGACGTAATGGTGATACTTTATTAGATCAGAGAGTTGACTAAAAATCTTACAATATTGTGAATTTGATAGCTCACCACTAACGAAATGAAACACCACGCGAAGTGCCACGAGCTTAGTATCTGTCATCTATGCTGCACGATACGCTTTGAATTCTGTTTTGACAGATCCAGCTAGAATCACCGCCAGAGCAAGTGGACTTGCAGGCATCATGCTGTAATTGGTGTAACCTTGTAAAAGGTCTTTACGCATTTCGCGTAAAATCAGTAGTGGGTCACTGCAAATTCTAAATGCACTGTGGTAGCCGGAATGGCTGGCGGCTAGGCATTGGGCAGTCAAATTGCCAGTAGAGTAGGCATAGGAGGAGAAGGAGGAAGAAGAAAAGAAATACGGAAGGCCGGGGAGGTTAGCCAGCTTTCACAACGGCTGGCTACCGTGTGCTGGGAAGCAGGCATAGCGCTGATTTTTGGGACCAGAAATCAAGCAGCTGGCGCACTGTCAGCAGGCTGCGCTGATCCCCAACAGTGCGCCAGCTGCTCGATTTTCGGTTCCCGAGAGGTGGCGAATGTCCTCTGAGAATTCTTAAAGCAAAGTAGCTGCAGGTTTCGTGCTGACTGGGAGAAACTGTTGCTAAGAAAAGTTAGGTACGTATCAAAACATAAAAGATGCAGCCTTCAAAGAAAAAACCAAACGCTTGACAGCGCAACACATCTCTCTTCCGAAGGGAGTGTAGCGGGTTCATGTAGATTCCAGGCGTTTTATGAAAAGCCAAGCGGCCTCCAGTATGTGTGGGGACTCTCTCTCTCTGGATTTCGTGCCGACCGCTTGTGCCCCCGCGATCTCCGACGACAGCGCAGCTCTGGCCGACTGGCTCGTAGTATGCCATCTCCTGACGCCGACAAGAGCTCTCACTGAGTGGTGCCCTGTCCTCGGACTCCAGCGACCGGGTTCATCATTCCTATCATCTCCATATTTCCGTATGTGGTCTCTCTATCCCTGCGCTTCTCTCTATCTCTATACCTTTAATTTTTCTCTGCAATTTTAATCCCTCCTTACCCCTATCCCTCGTAAGCTATTGTTGAGGTGTCCTCCCTCCAAGATACAGTTACGGGGCTCACTTTTTCTTCTTTTCCCTCTTTTAAGAATCACCCCCCCCCCCCCCAGTATGTGCTGTCGTGCTGCTACAGTACTGCACCCATGCTTCCGTGGTCGTCGATGTGTCCACTATAATTCGAAGTGACACGTTGGGCAGTGAATAAATCAGTAGTGCTGCAGTACCCAATCACTGTTTGTCTTGCTGACAGAAGTGTTCGTGCTTCGAAGTCCAGATGAAGGTATACATGTGGTTTCTTGATGTCGCGACAAAGCGTGCCCGTAAGCGACTGAGCCACCCGTGAAAATGTATATACGAGTGCCAGAAACTCGCGCAACTTTGATAAAGAGGTCGCACCCGTAATCCCAGTGGCTTGCACCTTTGGTTGAAGTGCAATGGCATAGATAATTGAGGGATTCCACTCTGAACATGTGTTTCCGGTGCTGTAGGATCAGGCTGTTTTTGTCAAGTCGCTCGACGAGAAAGCGAAAGTGCTCTTGGTTCTTGTTTTCGTCTGTGCTGCTAGCAAAAAGAATGTCGTCAACCTCTTTCATAAACCCATGGAATGTTCGTTCCAAGTGAAATGGTTCAGTAATTGCTGTCTTCGTGATGGCACTGGGTTTGACAGGACTTTGTAGTAGTGGGAGGTCATCAAACCTATGTCAATGCATGCTTTGGAGACCAGAGCCGTGTAGTCGTGTACGTGGGGAAGCTGATACTGAAGTGG